GAGGTGCTGCCTCAGAATTTGCATTTTTGACAAGTTCCCAGGTGATACTGATGTTGCTTATCCAGAGAGCAGCACTCTCAGAACCACTGCCTTATAGGATAAAATAAAACAGCGTCTTCCAGTTTGTTTTTTAATCATTTTTCCCCCTCGGTGTCCAGGCAACCACAAAGTTCAAATGGCTGAAATTATTTCTCTTCGTTTTTTCATTTGTCTGTTTTGTACAAGTAAACAGCTTACCAAGAATTTTTTCAGCAAGCAGTTTCTAGGATATGTCTTGTGGCTCGTGAAAAATTAGTTCAGTTTTCTGACCAACTACATCAACAGCACTTAAATAATCGTACATATAAATGCCTAAAGAACTGTCATTTTTACTTAAAAATTGTAGTGTCTCCATATTTAATAAATCAGTTTGATTAACTGGGGGCATTCAGTTTTCCAGTCGTTGTTGATCAATAAAATTAGAAGGAGAATCCTGGCCTACTATTCACCTTTCATGAGAAGTTAATTAATAGAGAAACTATACCTTAAAATGAAACCAGCTTTGCTTCCTTATTTGTCTCTTCCTGGTTGATACAAGACTGGTATTTGGAAGGTAGATGCTGGCTGAGATGTTACAAAACTGCACATAGTAGGGAAAGTGTATAAATCACTAGCTAATGAAATGAGTGTGGGAGCTTTTGAAAGATTTATCAGTAATCCGGGTGTATGTTATTCACTTATGATGTCAGGAGTCTTTTTTTTTTTTTTTTAATAGACAGTCTCCCTGTGTGGCTCAGGCTGATCTCGAACTCCTAAGCTCAAGTGATCCACTCGCCTTGGCCTCCCAAAGTGCTGGAATTACAGGAGTGAGCCACTGCGTCTGGCCTGAGTCCTTTCCTTGTCTTTTCTTTCTTTTTTTTTTTGAAACAGCCTTGCTCTGTCACCCAGGCTGAAGTGCAATGGTGGGATCTTGGCTCACTACAACCTCCACTCCTGGATTCAATTGATTCTCCTGCCTCCGCCTTCTGAGTAGCTGGGATTACAGGCATGCACCAACACACCCAGCTAATTTTGTTTGTATTTTTAGTAGAGACGGGGTTTCACCATGTTGGCCAGGCTGGTCCTGACCTCAGGTGATCCACCCACCTTGGCCTCCCAAAGTGCTGGGATTACAGGTGGGAGCCATTACGCCCAGCTCCGGCCCGATTCTCATGAGTAGTTGTTGTTGTTGTTGTTTTAGTTTTCCTTATGAATAGTTTTGAATAAACAATTTTATACTTGGAAACCTTAATCTTTGCTTAATTTTCAAAGCTTGGGTTTTTTATTTGAACTTAGTAGAACAGTTTAATATATTTTTTTAAAGTTTTAAGGCTGGCATGGTGGCCTGTGCCTGCAATCCCAGCACTTTGGGAGGCCAAGGCGAGTAGATCACTTGAGATCAGGAGTTTGAGACCAGCTTGGCCGACATGGTGAAACTCTGTCTCTACTGGGCATGGTGGCACATGCTTGTATTCCCAGCTACTCGGGAGGCTGAGGCGGGAGAATCTCTTGAACCTAGGAGACAGGGATTGCAGTGAGCTGAGATTGTGCCACTGCACTTTAGCTTGGGCAACAGAGCAAGAGTCCATCTCAAAAAAAAATTTTGTAAGCAACTGTTAGTGAATATTTATTAAATTTCAGCTGCCATTGTATATTATAGTGGCTTATGTTATTCATAGGTATGCATATATGTGTACCTGTTTTGTGTCCAGAGATGTAAAGCTTATGAAGACAGATGTTTTTTGCTCATTAGAACCATCTTTTTATGTGCTAGTGGGACAGTTGAGTCACATCCTGGTTTCTAAAAGCTTGGTATAATACAGCTACTTCTGAGAACCCTAAGACCTCAAAGAATTTTTTTTTTCTTTTTCTTTTGAGACAGTCTTGCTCTGTCGCCCAGGCTGGAGTGCAGCCACGTGATCTTGACTCACTGTAACCTCTGCCTCCTGGGTTCAGGTGATTCTCCTGCCCTGCCTCAGCCTCCTGAGTAGCTGGGATTACAAGCATGTTCCACCAAGACTAGCTAATTTTTGTATTTTTTTTTTTTTTTTAGTAGAGAGGGGGTTTTAGCATGTTGGCCAGGCTGGTCTTGAACTCCTAGCCTCAGGTGATCCGCCCACCTTGGCCTCTCAAAGTGCTGGGATTACGGGCATGAGCCATCACACCTGGCATGATTTTCTTTTTTAAGCGTTGCTAAAGGGTAATTTAGCAGACTAAAATATATAGTACACATGCATCTTAAAAAATTACTATATTAGATTTGCCTCAATGATATCTTACATTTTATTCAATAATATGAATACTGTATAGCCATTAAAACTCATGTGGTAGGCTGGGCGCGGTGACTCACACCTATAATCCCAGCACTTTGGGAGGCCGAGGCGGGCAGATCATGAGGTCAAGAGATCGAGACCATCCTGGCCAACATGGTGAAACCCCGTCTCTACTAAAAAAATACAAAAATTAGCTGGGCATGGTGGCACGTGCCTGTAGTCCCAGCTATTGGGGAGGCTGAGGCAGAATTGCTTAAACCCGGGAGGCAGAGGTTGCAGTGAGCCGAGATCATGCCACTGCACTCCAACCTGGTGCCTGAGCAAGACTGTCTCAAAAAAAACAAAAAATTTGGTAATGATGTGGAGAAAAGGCTTATGATACAGTAAATTAAAAACCCCACCAGATTTCAAATCAACATAGATGCCCTGATAGTGATGGGGAATTATGGGAAAGACAGAAAAAGGAATAAAAAACCGTAACATGTTGATGAAGTTATCACTGGTTGGAGTTATTATTTTTGAGACAGGTTCTCATTCAGTCACCCAAGCTGGTGTACAGTGGTGTGATCACAGCTCACTGTAGCCTCAACCTCCTGGGCTCAAGTGATTCCAGTAGCTGGGATTGCAGCCATAGGCCACATTGCCCAGCCTTTGTTTTGTTTTGTTTCTTTGGTAGAGACAGGGTCTTGCAATGTTGCCTAGGCTGGTCTCAAACTCCTGGGCTCACGTGATATCCTCTTGCCTTGGTTTCCCAAAGTGTTAGGATTACAGGCATGAGCCACTGCTCCCGGCCAGTGGTTGGGAATGTAGGTGCTTTTCTTGGTTGATTTTCTAAAATTCCCCATGTTAAAGGGTTACTTTAAACACACTATTAAAAAATAGACTATGGAACAACCGAGTAGTAAAAGCTTTACTGCCTTGGTTTACTTTAAATGTGTGGTACCACTTCTTTATCTTTGGATAGCTACTCTGAATAATTGTAGAATCCTCGTCTTATTAAACACTCTAGATTCGTATTTACATTGTTCTTTGAATAGTCAAATGTTTGTTAGGTACCATATGGTCTTTTTCATTATTGTTCAGACTGTTTGGTCTTCTTCAGTATTATGACTTTCTAGCAAAGGACGTAGAACTGTGTCAGCAACCTACGCAAAGACTTTTTTTTTTTTTTGAGACGGAGTCTCTGTCACTAGGCTGGAATGCAGTGGCATGATCTTGGCTCACTGCAACCTCTGCCTCCTGGGTTCAAGCAATTATACCTCAGCTTCCCAAGTAGCTGGGATTATAAGCATACGCCACCATGACCAGCTAAGTTTTGTATTTTTAGTAGAGATGGGGTTTCACCATGTTGGCCAGGATGGTCTCGATCTCCTGGCCTTGTGATCCGCCCACCTCAGCCTCCCAAAATGCTAGGATTACAGGTGTGAGCCACTGCACCCAGCCACAAAGACTTATTTTAATGGCCTATGGGTAAAGTTGGGAATTTTGTGGCAAATGTAATGAATAGGGTACAGTAAGTAGCTAGAATAATTACTGATGCTGGAAGAAACCTGAGAAAAGTGAGCATGAATGAGCCCTAACTGCATCATACCGTAAGACATATATGCCGTTTGCAGTTGTACACTATACTTGGGATCAGGCCCTAACTGAAGGTCTAGAGAAAATTGACTGGAATTCAAGGTGAGTTGCCTGGTTGTAGGGCCACTTTTGATAACAGGTGTGGGATTACCAGTTTAAGATTTGTAGACTCATCTCATTTTCCTACTCTTTATCTCATACTTGAGAAATTAGACTCCCAAATTTGACCAGAAGTGATATGTAGAATGTATGGGTTTTAAAAAAAATTTTGTTGTTGTTGTTATTATTATTATTATTTGAGATAGAGTCTCACCCTTGTCATCCAGCTTGGAGTGCCATGGTTTTGGCTCACTGCAACCTCTGCCTCCTGGGTTCACGCGATTCTCCTGCCTCAGCCTCCCAAGTAGCTAGGATTACAGGCGCCCGCCACCATGCCCGGCTAATTTTTGTATTTTTAGTAGAGACGGGGTTTCACCATGTTGGCCAAACTGGTCTTGAACTTCTGACCTTAGGTGATCTGCCCGTCTTAGCCTCCCAAAGTGCTGGGATTACAGGTGTGAGCCACTGCGCCCGGCCATGTTGTGTTTTCGACTGTGCTTTCTGGTGTTCAGATAAGACTAAATGAAAATAAAATTAGTCTTGGTATTTAAATATTTGTGCTAGCTGTAGCAGCAGCAATTGTCAATGGGAAGTGCAGGTTACAACTGAGCCAGCTTCCAGCAATCTGTCAGGGAGGCCACCGTGCTTTGACTTCTGCTTTGCTTTGAGCAAGACATGATGGGTGTGGAACCTGTTTTACTGAACATGGAAAATGTTACCCTTCTTCTAGTTCAGAACTGACTCCTGTAAAGGCGTGATAGTTACTCATTTTCAGAACTTTCTTCCCAAATGCTACCAGGAATCCCTTTTTTGGTGCTAGGCTGGGAAGGCTCTGAAGGTAGGAAGGGAGAGCAGATAACTGTGATAACAGACACTTTACTTGAGCTCATGTTCCTGTTTCTCTGCAGTAAAATGTTATTCTATCAAGCAGCCAATCTGCTTCATAAGGAGCTTTTTTTTTTCTTTTTTCTTTTTTTTTTTAAAGAAAGAGGATCTCAGCCAGGCTTGGTGGCTCATGCCTGTAATCCTAGCACTTTGGGAGGCCAAGGCGGGCGGATTACCTGAGAGCAGGAGTTCAAGACCAGCCTGGCCAATATGGAGAAACCATGCCTCTACTAAAAATACAAAATTAGCTGGGCGTGGTGGAACATGCCTATAATTCCAGCTACCTGGGAGGCTGAGGCAGGAGAATTTGCTTGAACCCAGGAGGTGGAGGTTGCAGTGAGCTGATATCAGGCCACTGCACTCCAGCCTGGGAGACAGAGCAAGACTCCAACTTAAAAAAAAAGAAGAGACAGGGTCTCACTCTGTGACCCATGCTGCAGTGGTGTGATCACAGCTTACTGCAGCCTTGACCTTCCCAGCTGAAGTGATCCTCCCACCTTAGCCTCTCAAGTAGCTGGGACCACAGGCATGGGTCACCATGCTTGGCTAAGTTGTTTGTTTGTTTGTTTGTTTTTGTAATGATGGTGTTACGCCATGTTGCCCAGGCTGGTCTTGAACTCCTGGCTTCAAGTGATCTGTCCACCTCCACCTTTCAAAGTGTTGGGATTACAGGCATGAACTACCGTGCCCAGCCAGGAGCCATTTTTAAAATTGTATATTTTAAAGCTTTGTCTTAAATTTTTCAAACACACCACAAAGTAGAAAAGAGTTTAATGAATCCCATGTACCCATCACTCAGCAGTCATCAATAGTCTGCCACACTACCCTTCTTCCTTCATCTATTCTGCCCTAGCTTTTTGTGGGGGATAGTCTGGAGTATATTTTTTAAAATCCTGACATCATTGCACCTGTACATTTGTCAGTATTCGTCTGTATCAGATAAGAATTTTTAAAAATAGTCACCATACCATTATTCATATTCAACAAATTAACAGTAATGTCTTTTGTTTTGTTTTGTGTTTTTGTTTTGAGACGGAGTTTTGCTCTTGTTGCCCAGGCTGGAGTGCAATGGCACAATCTCGGCTCACCGCAACCTCCGCCTACCAGGTTCAAGCGATTCTCCTGCCTCGGCCTCCTGAGTAGCTGGGATTACAGGCATGCGCCACCACGCCAGGCTAATTTTGTATTTTTAGTAGAGACGGGGTTTCTCCATGTTGGTCAGGCTGGTCTAGAACTCCCGACCTCAGGTGATCCGCCTGCGTCAGCCTCCCAAAGTGCTGGGATTACAGGCATGAGCCACCGCACCCGGCCAATTAACGGTAATTTCTTTAAAATCACCCAATGCCTATTTCATGTTCAGTTTTCTTCATTTGTCTCAAATGTCTTTTTACAGATCGTTTGATTCATTCATGATACAAAGTGTATACAATGTATTTGATTGATCAGTCTCCTCTAACCTGTAACCATTCCCTCTTCCTTTTATTTTCATTCTACAGTATTTATTTGATGAGGAAACCGGGCTGTCACATACTGTTCCCTCATTCTGGAGTTGGATGGTTCCATTCTTGTGGTGGTGCACGTGTTTCTGGGAGTCATGAACTTGATTAGGTTCAGGTTCAATTCTTTGGAGAGCTGTAATGCTTTCTAGATAGCGCCCTGTATATCCTATTGTATCACATTGGGGGGTAACATGTTTGGTTGTCCCAGTTTTAGTGATAATAAGAGGATAAAGTCCTCCATCAACTTTTTTAACTGAAATTTTTCTTGAGATAATTATAGATTCACATGTAATTGTAAGAAATAATACAAAGAAAAAAAAAAAGAAATAATACAAAGAGATGGCCGGGTGTGGTGGCTCATGCTTGTAATCCCAGCACTTTGGGAGGCTGAGGCTGGCAGATCACCTGAGATCAGGAGTTCGACCCCAGCCTGGCCAACATGATAAGACCCTGTCACACTTAAAATACAAAAATTAGCCCTGCAGGGTGGTGCATGCCTGTAGTCTGAGCTACTCAGGAGACTGAGGCAGGAGAATCACTTGAATCCAGGAGGCAAAAGTTGCAGGAAGCCGAGATCGAACCACTGCACTCCAGCCTGGGCGAGAGAGCGAGAGTCTTTCTCAAAGAAAAAAAAAAGTTTGTTCCTTTTTGTCCCCAGTAGTGTTTCATATTGTATGTGGACCAGAATCTAATAATTCACCTGTTGAAGGACGTCTGGGCTGATTGTAGTTTTGGGCTGTTACAAATAAAGCTGCCATGAACATTCATGTACAGGTTTTTGTGTGAACGTAAGTTCTCAATTCTCTGGAATAAATGTCTGAGAGTGTAATTGCAATTCCCGGATCAAGTAGTAACTGATGTTTGTTTTTTTGTATGTTTGTTTTATTTTTGAGACAGAGTTTTGCTCTTGTTGTCCCAGCTAGAGTACAATAGCACCATCTCGGCTCACCACAACCTCTGCCTCCCAGGTTCAAGCAGTTCTCCTGCCTCAGCCTCCCAAGAAGCTGGGATTACAGGCATGCACCACCACACCCGGCTAATTTTGTATTTTTAGTAGAGATGGAGTTTCTCCATGTTGGTCAGGCTGGCCTTGAACTCCCGACCTCAGGTGATCCGCCTGCCGCGGCCTCCCAAAGTTCTGGGATAACAGTCGTGAGCCACAGCACCTGGCCTGATGTTTGCTTTTATAAGAAACTAACAAACTGTTTTCCAAAGTGACCGTACCATTCCCACCAGCAATGTCTGAGTGATCCAGTTTCTCCTCATTTTTGTCAGCATTTGGTATTGTCACTATTTTTTATTTTGACCATTCTAATAGGTGTATAGTGATACCTCATTGTGGTTTTAAATTGCATTTCCCTGGTGGCTAGTGATGAACATTGTTTCATGTGCTTATTTGCAATCTGTCTATCCTCTCTGGTGAAATATTTTGTTCATGTCTTTCGTTCATTTTTTAATTTGATTTTTTTTCTATTGAGTTTCAGATACTAGTCTTGTCAAGTATGCGGTTTACAAATATTTTCTCCCAGTCTGCAGCTTGACTTTTCGTGCTCTTCACAGTGTTTGTGAATAGCAAAACTTTTTACTTTTTTTTGAGATGAAATCTTGCTCTCTCACCCAGACTGGAGTACAGTGGCACAATCTCAGCTCACTGCAACCTCCGCCTGCTGGGTTCGAACAATTCTCCTGCCTCAGCCTCCCAAGTAGCTTGGACTACAGGTGTGTACCACCATGCCCAGCTAATTTTTTTTCTATTTTTGTAGAGATGGGGTTTTGCCATGTTGGCCAGGCTGGTTTCTCACTCCTGTCCTCAAGTGATCTGCCCACCTTGGCCTCCCAAAGTGCTGGGATTACTGGAGTGAGCCACTGTGCCCAGCCAAAACTTTTTAATTTTAATGCAGTCCATTTTTATCAGCAGTTTCTTTATGGATCATGCTTTTGGCTTCAGGCCTAAGAACTATTTGCCTAGCCCTAGATCCTGCAGATTTTCTTTGTTGTTTTTTTTTTTTAATAAATGTTTTATAGTTTTACATTTAGGTTTATAATGCATTTTGAGTTAGTTTTGTGTAAGGTGTGAGGTTTATTTTAGATTGTAGATGTCCTTCCTCTGTTGAATCACCTTGGCACTTTTGTCAGTACTCAATTGAAAATATTTGCATGGGTCTGATTGTCAGCTCTCCACCATTAGCTTTTCACCTAATAGGTTTAGCAGCCATTGATAATCTTTTTTTTTTTTTTTTTTTTTTTTTGAGAGGGAATCCCACTCTGTTGCCCAGGCTGGAGTGCAGTGGTGTGATCTCAGCTCACTGCAGCCTCCACCTCCCAAATTCAAGCAATTCTCCTACTTTAGCCTCCTAAGTAGCTGATATTACAGGTGCCTACCACCACGCTTGCGTAATTTTTGTATTTTTAGTAGAGATGGGGTTTCACCATGTTGGCCAGTCTCGAACTCCTGACCTCAAGTGATCACCTGCCTCGGCCTTTCAAAGTGCTGAGATTACAGGCATGAGCCACCATGCCCGGTTTGATGATGGTTTTTTATTTTATTATGGGTTACAGAATGGTAGTAGTTCATGATTCCTTCATTTATTAGCTGGAATGCTTCTCCAAAAGACATTCTCCTGATCAGCTCTGTGGTTGCTCTGAGGTACAGTTTTTACAGGAAAATACAGGATAAATGTTTGCTTTCTTCCTTTCATATATACCTGTTTGCAGAATAATGACATGGTTCCTTCCATCCTCCAAAGGTGACCAATAATAATTTCTAAGTATCATTATGAACATTATGGCTCACTTTGCCAGTAGGAGTCTGTTCAGATTGGCTTCTGAGTCCATTTGACACAACTCCTTTGATCTTTGACAGTTTCCTTGTTTTTAGGTGCAAGATTTTTCAGGCTCACCTTAGACACTTCCTGCCACATGCTTAGAATCAACCATTTCTCTAAGGACCTTCATTCCATTTCACGAGAAATTATAGAGACCACAATCAAAACAAATCATGAATTTATACTGATACTTTCAATTCAAATGAAAGACATTTTTACTATAATTTCTTGAGTTTATATTTCTGTGTCTTCTGCTGAAAAATCTTGATTCCTAATTAGTAACATAATTATTCATTCGATAATGAATTGGTAAATATTTTAGGGCCGATTCTTTGGTTTTATAGCCAAGATACCCTGTTGATAAAGTCTTGTGGGAGCAATTATAAGACTGGCTTATTTAGGAGCTTTGTAAAAAGACATCCCTACCTGTTTTAACTGTAGATTATATTAACTTAAATAGGTACAGCCCACGCTTGATGGAAAAAATTCTCCAAATGGCTGAAGGTATTGATATTGGGGAGATGCCTTCATATGATCTGATGCTGCCCAAGTCTTCCAAAGGTCAAAAACGCCACCTCTCAACATGTGATGGTGAGTATACTTGTTTCTGAAAGGTGGGATTTCAAGAAACAACATGGCTTTAAAAAATGATATGAGTGTGGTATATCATTTTAAATAACATTGGTAACATTAGTTCTTACACATGTAAAAGGGTTTTAGCTTTTAGTTATTTACAGTTTTTTGAGGATGCTAAATAGAATTGAAAACTAAGAATACTGAAATCCTGCACTCCTTGAAGTTTATGCCATGGAACCTCCCTCTAACTAGAATCTTATATTGTGATCACTTGAGCATCTAAGTCACTAAATCCTCTTGGATGGGTCCGGGATGGATGAGCTTTCTACTGAGCAGTTATAGGAAGGAAGCCCTAGTGTCTGGTATAGCCTCATCTGAGTTCTTCCATAGCTTTAAATTTGGCATCTCCCCTAAATCATTAGTGTCCAGCTGTTGTTCTAGAAATAAAATAGAGCAAAAACCCTTTTGTGATGAATGGGTCAGAACTGAGGTTTTGAAGTTTAAAACCTTTGGAATCTTTTGATAATTCTTTTTTTTTTTTTGAGTTTTAGTCACAACTATGTAAAGCACCATCATAGAGTCACTCACTTCTGATACAAAAGAGAAAGGCTTTGTAACTGCCTCTGGTCATCATTTCTCTTGCATTAGAGCCATCTGTTTCCATTTGTAGTCCTTAAGTGAGCTTTTCAGCACGGGTGGTATGAGATTGTACTGGAACAATCTTCCAGTTCACTTCACCTTCCAGCACAGGGTGAAGAGTGTATTTCACCTGTGCTTTAGCTCATTTGATGCAAAAGCATCTACCAGTCATGTGTGGTGGTGACCTGAATACTTGACTCAATGGTATATTTTCTATCAAAGGTCTTCCCTTACATGTGGAAAGATAGGGAGCATCCCTCCTTATGCTGGAATCTTAAATTGATAATTGAGTCCCTTCACCCAAATGACATGAAATTTTTGTGATGGGAAGTATCTCGTACCAACAATGCAGCTTGCAAATAATATGGTTGGTACTATTTTCCTGCTTGGTTCTTTTGAAATATTCCCATTTTAATGAATTGTAAATTTCACTCATTCTATAGGTCAAAATCCTCCTAAAAAGCAAGCCGGTTCCAAATTCCATGCGAGACCTCGTTTTGAGCCTGTACATTTTGTAGCTAGTAGTTCAAAAGATGAAAGACAGGAAGATCCTTATGGCCCTCAAACAAAAGAGATAAATGAACAAACACATTTTGCCAGCATGCCAAGAGACGTCTACCAAGATTATACTCAAGACTCTTTCAGTATACAAGATGGGAATTCTCAGTATTGTGATTCATCAGGATTCATTTTCACAAAAGACCAGCCTGTAACAGCCAACATGTATTTTGACAGTGGGAACCCCGCCCCAAGCAGCACATCACAGCAGGCAAATTCTCAGTCAACTCCTGAGCCTTCACCATCACAGACATTTCCTGAGTCCGTGGTAGCCGAGAAGCAGTATTTTATTGAAAAATTAACAGCGACTATCTGGAAGAATCTTTCTAATCCAGAAATGACTTCTGGATCTGATAAAATTAATTACACATACATGTTAACTCGTTGTATTCAGGCATGTAAGACAAATCCTGAGTATATATATGCTCCTTTAAAGGAAATTCCTCCTGCCGACATCCCCAAAAATAAAAAACTTCTAACTGATGGCTATGCTTGTGAAGTTAGATGCCAAAATATCTACTTAACTACAGGTTATGCTGGCAGCAAGAATGGGTCCAGGGATCGAGCTACTGAGCTAGCTGTAAAACTCTTGCAGAAACGTATTGAAGTTAGAGTTGTCCGGCGGAAATTCAAGCATACGTTTGGAGAGGACCTTGTGGTGTGTCAGATTGGCGTGCCCTCCTATGAATTTCCTCCAGCTTTGAAACCACCAGAGGACCTGGTGGTGCTGGGTAAAGATGCTTCCGGGCAGCCAATTTTTAATGCTTCCGCCAAACACTGGACCAATTTTGTCATTACAGAAAATGCAAATGATGCAATTGGTATCCTTAACAATTCTGCCTCATTCAACAAGATGTCAGTTGAATACAAATATGAGATGATGCCAAATCGCACATGGCGTTGTCGAGTGTTTTTACAAGATCACTGCTTAGCTGAAGGTTATGGAACCAAGAAAACAAGTAAACATGCAGCTGCCGATGAGGCTTTGAAAATTCTTCAAAAAACACAGCCCACTTACCCATCTGTCAAAAGTTCACAGTGCCATACAGGCTCTTCACCCAGAGGATCTGGAAAGAAGAAAGATATAAAGGATCTTGTGGTTTACGAGAATTCTTCCAATCCCGTATGCACGCTGAACGACACAGCTCAGTTTAACCGAATGACAGTTGAGTATGTCTATGAAAGGATGACAGGCCTCCGCTGGAAATGCAAAGTGATTCTAGAGAGCGAAGTAATTGCAGAAGCAGTTGGGGTGAAGAAAACTGTCAAATATGAAGCTGCCGGGGAAGCTGTGAAAACCCTCAAAAAGACCCAGCCAACTGTTATTAACAACTTGAAGAAAGGAACTGTTGAAGATGTGATTTCAAGAAATGAAATTCAGGGCCGCTCAGCAGAGGAGGCTTATAAACAGCAAATCAGAGAAGATAACATCGGAAATCAGCTGCTGAGAAAGATGGGTTGGACGGGTGGTGGTTTAGGTAAATCTGGTGAGGGCATACGGGAGCCTATCTCAGTCAAAGAGCAGCATAAGCGGGAGGGGCTTGGTCTGGATGTAGAGAGGGTGAATAAAATTGCCAAGAGAGATATTGAACAGATCATCAGAAACTATGCCCGCTCTGAGAGCCACACAGATTTGACTTTTTCTAGAGAGCTGACTAATGACGAACGGAAGCAAATACATCAGATTGCTCAGAAGTATGGTCTTAAGAGTAAGTCTCATGGGGTGGGCCATGATAGGTACCTGGTGGTAGGTAGAAAAAGACGGAAGGAAGATCTACTAGATCAGCTCAAACAGGAAGGCCAAGTGGGCCATTACGAGCTTGTTATGCCTCAGGCCAATTGAGATCTTCCAATGCCTCAAGCAAAGTGAGATCTTCCTAATTTATTTTGTAAATGCCTAATGAGGCAGATTTTTGGAATTTAAAAAATGCTACATGTCCTGGTTGCAGAGTATATTCATCTTAAGATGTCTCACCTTGTTCATTTCATATAGTGGTTTATGAAATATTGGAACCTAAAGAATTCTGTCCACTTGTATTAGCTTAAGCCAGCAGATATTGTGCAGTTACTGTTTGTGTCTTTGATATTGCTGTGTCCCTCAGATTTTAGCAGTTTGAAAAGCAAGAACACATATCCAAATAAAATTTTACCCCGAGAAAGAAATTGTCATTTGAAAGGGCATAGCACAGCAATCTGCAACAATATGTAAAGTTGATATTGACTACAATATCTTAATTCCAGATTTACTGAAAATGTCAGATCATTTTGTATTAATCTATTTTCATCTTTGTGTGAAGCCAGTTATAGAATGTTTAACAATAAATTGTGCTGTACATGTAAATGTCCTTACCAACTAAATGATGTAAAACTTTCTTAATTTTAGTGTTCATTTATTTATAAATTCTACCATGTGATTTCCAGAATATTGGAAGTGATTTACTGTATCTTGTGATATATGGGTTTTAACAAAATCTAGTCTTCACGCTGAGAGAGCACTACTTGAGAGAGCAGTTGAAAGTTTCAAAAACTTTGGTTCAATCTGAAGAAAGGAAGCTTGAACTGTTTGTTCTTGGTGCCTTGCAGAGAGACTCACAGCAACTCTCCATTATAGCTTTCACAGGGTTTGGATGTGCAGGACATCCAAGGCAGCCACAGCTGTGGTAGAGCTTGGTAAAAGACTGAAGACACATTGGTGCTTTGATGCAAAGGTCAGTTGGCTGGTCCCTCTCTCAAAAAGCTTATTAAGCCTGAAAAGCCAACTTTGTAACATATTTAAAACTGCTATTTTCGCTTATTTCTGGAATGTAAAAAAATGTATAAAAAGAATTAGTGTATACTTCCTGAATAAAAAGGAGCCAAAGTTGATGAGAATGATGGCGTGCTCATTTCCGGGCAGCAGCCTTGTAGCAACACTGGGTCTTTGGAGAAGGGAAGTGGTGTTTGCGCAGAATATTTCAACACCCAGAGCACGTGTGGATGAAGGTACTGATTTAACAGATAGGAATCAGTCAACTATCACTTTTTTCCTGTGGACCAACACGCTTGCTTCAACCAAATCTTAGGCTGCTGCCTTTTATGTGATTTTGTATCTCAGATAAATCAAGTATAACCTCATAACAGCACAGGTGAATATTACCATTGTTCATTAAACACCTCTAATGAAATGATGTTCGGGACAATTAGGTGGCTTACGATGCCTGAAAATATTTAGCACCATGATTGACGTGTAATTGGCCAACAAGAAATAGTAATTTCCTTTCCCCTGGTTTTTTTTTTTTTTTCCCGACATGGAGTTTTGCTGTTGTTGCCCAGGTTGGAGTGCAATGGTGTGGTGTTGGCTCACTGCAGCCTCCACCTCTGGGGTTCAAGCAATTCTCTAGTGTCAGCCTCCCAAGCAGCTGGGATTATAGGCACTCACTACCATGCCTGGCTAATTTTTGCATTTTTAGTAGAGATGGGGGTTTCACCACGTTGGCCAGGCTGGTCTTGAACTCCTGACCTCAGGTGATACGCCCACCTTGGCCTCCCAAAGTGCTGGGATTATAGGCATGAGCCACCGTGCCTGGCCCTGTTTTTTATATTTTACATTAATCAGCTGCCCACTATAGTTAAATTGTTTTTAAAGTATAAAGAGATTATTAGCCTTTACACCTGGATCTCTGTAACTGTTAATCATTTATGGTCACTAACCAGTGTGGTCATTGCTTTCCATTAACCATCTTCCTACAGTGCATAGCCTTTCCTAATGTTGGTAGAAAGAGAAATGTGTCTATTTTATTTTGGCACTTCATATTAACATGGGCAAAAAGAACTAAGCAAAATATTTATAGATTTTATATGATTACGATTTTTTTTTAATGAATGAGAGGTTCTTACGTTGCCTAGGCTGGGCTCCAATGTGTAGCCTCAACTCCTCAAGTGCCAGGACAACTGGCCTAAGGCACCGTGGCTCCCACAATTTTTTTTTTTATTTTTATTTTTGAGACAGGGTCTCACTCTGGTTACCCAGGCTGGAGTGCAGTGGCACAATCTCAGCTCACTGCAGCCTCCAACTCCCGAGTAGCTGGCACTACAGGTGTGCACCACCTGGCCCATCTAATTTTTTTGTATTTTTAGTGGAGATGGGATTCTGGTCTCTGCCAGACAGACCAGCCTGGTCTCAAGCTCCAGGACTTAAAACAGTCTACCCTCCTCAGTCTCACAGGCATGAGCCACCACACCCAGCCTACAGGGTTCTTTTTAAACTTACAAGGTTCATGCCAATCTTGAGAAGCTATGGTTGAATTTGTGAGTTAGAAAAAACCCGTCTCCAATTTTCAGAGTAAGAGTGGCTTTGGGGATTAAGAGATAGGAAAACTTAATTTCTCTCTTTACATTTCTTTCTTCCCCACATGATTTTAAGGTGGGGAAAGGTAAGCAAATGATAAATATGAATGTGGTTTGTCTAGGCGAGTCCAACAGAATATTAAGGTAGTTAAGAGTTAGGAAGGCTCCTAAATAATTGTGCCAAGTAGATACAAATTTGGTTACTGGATTTGAAGGGCCAGATTGCCTAACTTGTTAGTATCTGTGATACTGATACAGACTTAGAGCAAAATCACCTAACTTGCTTGAGGATAAAATGATGTTGAGAATGGCGTTGGCATGAATGAGCTGCTGACAAGCTTACTGTTGTTCCATTTTGTCCCCTTTCAGTTGGTTTCTGTATTTTCCCTTTCTTTGAAATGTAGTCATTCTTAACCCAGTAACCTTCCTATAAAATCTGCACAGGTACATAAGCAGTTTCAAAATTTATTTGGATTACTTTAATGTTTTTCATACTGAGGAACTGTGTTTTCCATTTTATATCTAGCATTGAGTCTCACAGATCTATTTTTTGGATTTTCTTCCTCCCCTTTGATTGCAAAATGAATGGAAATATGCATTTTGTTGGGATTCTTTTTTAGTAGTATACAATGCATTCTCTTTGCTATGAGTAACCCCTGAAGCTGGAGATGGGTCCTAAATAAAGGATTCGAATTGCAGCTTTGGTTCCGCATCACACCTCTTTCCCCACATCAGCTGGTGCAGAATTGAAAAGTTCAAACCTGACTGCTATTTGAAAACGGGACTTTGTACATTTTTGTTAACTTTATCAATACATGCAGATAGCCTGTATTGTATTGTGGTGTTTGTTAAAAATTTTAAAGGTAGAAAGAGGCAATTAGCATAAAATGTTCAAATGTATGGTTTGTGGTGCCTTTGATCACGCATATGTTGTTTTGGGAGGTCAGCTTGTGGTCTCTGTTGTAAGGTTTTAAACAGATTATCCCATGAAAGAGATTGGGAATAGTGTTTCTTAGGTGTACAAAAGAAGAAAGTTATTAAACCTGACCATTCTGAGTCTCGCCTTAAATTTTTTTAGGTACGATTAACAGTGTCAATATTTAAGGTACTCAGCCATGTGGCAGGATGAAAAACTTAATGTAAAACAAATCCACCAAATGGAGAAATTTAATGTGATTCTACTTTGAAGCAGAAATGGACTTGGGGGAAAATATTAAGCAAATGTAAGGACATTGCTTCTAGGTGAAACAATCCAAGTAATGTGGTAATTAGTGCAGATTGTACTCCCCCATACTGAGGCTTCAAGTACCATGTCTTAAAGGATGAATGGAATACATGTGTCATAAGGACTTCATTTAGCCCCATCCACCCAACCAAACAAGTACCAAGAGGTGATCATTGTTTGTTTGAGACAGGGTCTCACTGTGTTGCCCAGGTTGGAGTGCAATGGCATGATCTCGGCTCACTGCAACCTCTGCCTCCCAGGTTCAAGCGATCCTCCTGGCTCAGCCTCCCTAGTAGCTAGGATTACAGGCATGCACCACCATTCCTGGCTAATTTTTGTATTTTTAGTAGACGGGGTTTTGCCATGTTGTCCAGGCGGGTCTCAAACCCCTGCCTCAGGTGATCCACCCACCTCAGCCTCCCAAAGTGTTGAGATTACAGGTGTGAGCCACTGAGCCCGTCCAGGTGATCGTTTTTTACAAAGTCATTGTCCTTGCCTCTTTCAAATGAGATGAGTTGCTCCTCAGAAAAAAGCAGTTTTGTTTAATCAAAATGATTGAGGATACCTGTACTCCCAAACTTTACACAGGATTGAAAATGCCATCTAATAATTTGGTAGTTTCTTTTTGAGCTAGGGCTTTTAAAGAGGTGGAATGTCAGGATCAACAAGTTAGATTTTGGTCTCTGATGGTGCTGATAAATACCCAAGTTAGTTCATTCCCCCTCCACTCCCCCCTCGGAACTTCATTCCCTTGATTGACTATAATGCATACTGAGGTAACTTTGTTTTATTTAATACTTTTATATTCTGTTAAAATGTTTAAAAAGCATCACCACTTAGGACTGAAAAGAAAAAAAAGGTTCTCTCCAAGAGTATATCTTGGCTTTTCCACTCCCAGAATGAGTATTTTTGCTTTTACCTTAATGTTTAAGGGGGCGAAATAAGCACATATGAGATCCCAATAAGAAACCAATACAAAAAGTTTCTACTGAGCTAAAATAAAATTATACCTTGACTATGAAATTTTAAGGTTATTTTTATTTACAACTTTTGAAAAATGTACATTTTTTTTTACATGGGTTACTTGTGCAAAGTTAGATTTAGAAGTGATAAATGCATAAAAGGTGACAATAGAACATTAGACAAAACATTTAAAAGCCTTGTCCCATACTGCTACTTAAAGGTACTATATATCTAAAAGCATAAATATCCAAAAAAAGATTGCAGATGTTGGCTTTAAGGTTCTCAGATGTTGAAAGGGAAGAAATTAAAGCATGCAGCAATAACTCAGGATTTGAGTGGAAAACAGTTTGCCACAGATATGCTATGCTCCCTTCCTTGAATTCATTAAGACTATAAAATAAAGATGGAGAATTGAGTTTATTCATTTAGGGCAGCAATGATCCTTTAAAAAGATGAAAGGATCTCCAACTTTCCCTAGCTCAAAAACTGATGGTTGTTTCCATTCTGTTCCCACACCTCTTTTTAAAAAGCAAAACCCCAGAAGACCAATATTCTGAAACTTAGCAAGGGTGTGCCCAGTCAGTAGCTTGCAAAGAGAGGATTTGTCAGTTACTACAATTGCTGTACTCCTTTAGTTGAGTCCTTCAACATTCTCCTTCTTGCCAGTAAATACTATCTAGTAATTCATATGAGTGAGATCCTAGTACCAATAGGATTTTTAGCTCTCATTCTTCTCAAAATTGTTTACATGGATTTGTTTCTATTCTCTGTAGATCATATTCCAAACACATTCACTTCTAAATCCAACAGAAGTGAAAGACCAGCCAGGATGAAATACTTAAGCAATCATTTTGTTAAAAATAACATCCTGGTCATCAAGCTATGCATATGCACCTCGTGTATAACAATTTACCTTAAATCTTAAAGTACAATAATAAAAATAACTGTCTGAAAACTGGAAATGAAATACAACAGAAAAACTTAAGCATTAGTAATTTTTTTGCAAGTAACCCAGGTACAGTACATTTGATTTCAAAGAAGGTGTTTTCTGATGTTTAAGGAGAAGGTAGAAGGGGTAGGAAAACTTGGCGAGGGAAGATGGAAACAGCACAACAGCTATTTTGCTTTTAATAAAGTAAATGTAATGACAAGAGTAGGGAGGTGACAAACACATCAATATATATTTTTCTTATGGCTGGCTTCTTCTTTAACTGTACCCGGGGTCAACAATCGCGCCAGCTTTGTTCTACTATTGCAGAAACACGCTTTTCATATTCCCGCTTGTTCTCCTGGTACAGCTGAGCAGCCTGGCTGTTTGCTGGACTATTGGGATTGGGTTCATCCAATAGAGACTAGA